GGCTGTGCTTCATAAGGGGATGCTAAGAAAAGGAAACAGTACAAGGCTGGTGTTTGGTTTAAAGTCTTTCTATTGATGGCCCAGGGCTTCTACATGCTCTTAGGCAACAGACCCCAGGCTCGTTGGGTCCTCCATCTCCTGAACCACGCTGCACTTCATGGCCTTGGCTCGGGAGGCCAGTGCCAAGCAAGGTGCGAGCGATATGGACACACATCCCCTACTTCGATTTGGTTAAGACCCCTGGAAAAAAAAAGAAGAAGAGAAAAACACCTTTACAACCAACGAGGAAAATAAACAAAACAATGTTCTTAAGCAAATGGAAGCCTACATCATCCAACATGAGACCAGCGGAAAACTGCCTTTCGTCTGGCTCCGGATGCTGGAGGCCTTGCAGCATTCGAGAGCCGGGTAGAGCTGGAGTCTTAAATCATGCTAGTGCTGCGTTTGGCTGTCGAAGGCCTTGAATCAAAGCAAGCACATTCAGTATGTTCAACGTCCATCCTGAATTGTAGAAGCAAGCAAGCAGTGTGCTGCAAGTCTTCTAAGAGAGCATGAGGCGCTCAAGGCATGTCACCACTTGGCGCCAGGCGAAGGCAATCTGCTCCTATCCATAGATTTCAGAGCATGCACCGTCACACAGGTCTGTCTCTGTTGAGGCATCCTACTGAGGTTGCCAGGACGCACGACTCAGTTCCTCAAACCACCCGCAAAGTTCACAACCAGCCAGCCACCTCAACTAAAGAAACCTGCAGCGGAATTGTGTTCGCAAGGCATGCAATGTTTGAACTAGCCTCGGCGGCCGAACATCTTCGCAGATTTGCCAAGGTGCATGAAACTTGGGAACTGTTTTGGCCATTCTGACAAGCATTGGTACCAGAGAGCACGGCGAGAATGCTGGTGAACATCGTCCGAGGAAATGCCGGGTCCGGACATATCACCCCAACGAGCAAGTCAACGGAGTAGAAGTCCACGCTCCCACAGGCAACCAGTCAGAATGCTTCAAATTTGTGGCTATTCATCCAAGCCAGCTGAACATTCCATGTAGCTTCAGCATCAGCAAGCAAAAAAACAAATTAATACAGCGCGTTCGGCGGCCAAACATTCTCCCGCAATCAATCAATCAATTGAATTCAGTTCTGGACCAAGCAAAGCTTTATCAAAATTCTGCACAGGGGTCACCTACAACTACCTTGGTCCTCAAACCAGCTCCTTATTCTGAGGTTTGACCTTCTGGGCAATCCGACGTAAGCATTAAGTGGTGCGCTGGCTGGATCTCATCCGGCAAAGCCCTCATTGCAAGACGGATCATAACCTTCAGGTGCTGGTGGCACTCCAGTCACCAGATGTTGTCGTTTTTTCTCCCAAGGAGAAAAACCATCCAAACCTTCGTCACCCCGCAAAAAAAACATATATATATATATATATCCGCAGAGTCCTCCATGCTGGCGTTCAGGCTTGGCGGCACCTCGGCTGCCCTTCTGGCCCCTCACTTTGGAGAAAACCGGCGGGGCGCGCGGCGCAGCCACTGAGGAAATCAGCTGCCAGAGCCGGAAGCTCAGATGGAAAGCCAGTTTGCAAGGTCGGCTTCTGGAAACTTTGGACAAGAGCAAATATCAGCACCAATAGTCCAAAGAAGCCTCCCAAGACACCCGTTTCATTGTTGAGCCTACATCGTTTGAACATCAGTTATGAGTATTCTTCCAACGCAGGGTCACCCGGTGACCCTTGGGCAGATTGGACCCTCCTTGCCACCCCACCGCACACAAACGACGACCCCGCCCCGCTTCCAGGAACACTCCGTGAGCTTTCTTGGGGCGGATCTTGAGTTGCCCCCGAGCGGCCCGAATAGACAGATGGGCCATCTGCTTCTTGCTCGCCTTCAGTTCAAGGACAGCAAGAAAAGGTCGTTGTGGGCAAGGGATACCTTTGAACACCTCAAATTGCAGGGTAGTCAGTTTGCCCCCTGTTTACAAGGGCGACCCTGGCTGAAAACCCTTCTGATTGGGCTGCCCGACAAGGCCAGTGGCAGCAACCTCTGCCTTTGCATTGGCCTAGCCAAGTGCCATGCCAAGCTTCGGACCCAGCGTCAGGAGACAAACAAGAAAGAAACCATGAAGCAAGTACAGGGTCTGCTTGACGCCCAAATGAAGAAGTTGAGGCTACCCAGTCATTGTCCTCGCGGGGCCCCTGTGGTAGCAAACCTACGGCAGTTGAAAACCTACCGACAGTTCGCAGAAATACTTGGGTGCAGCCTCACTGGACGAAGTACTTGATACAAGCAGAGCGTACTCATCGGTCTATGCAGTTTCTGCATTCTTTAAAAATGTTGGCACGTCCCCAAAATACTACGGCAACCAGTCAAGAATGCATTGCATGGCTTCCCCTCCACCCATTGTGATTGCAGCGGCTTCTGAAGGGATCCAACGCCCACCGAATGCAACACATTTCTGCCGTGCAGCAGGCCTGCTGCTGCTGCTGCTGTTGCTGTTGCTGCTGTTGCTGTTGCTGCTGTTGCTGCTGCTGATACCAGGCCTCAGTTCAAAGCGGAGCAAGGCATTCAAAGGGAGTCCCCTGGGAGCTTGCCCACAGGCCCGGGGGCCAAGGGCCCAAGGGCCCAATGCAGCTCCAAGTCATACGGGCGCCAAGCAGCAAACCACGTCTCTGCATGTTTTGCCTGTGTGGCCACCTTGCATTGAGAATGGTTCACCCGCAATCCTACGACTTCATTCATTTCTGATTTGCTCGAATTCATTCAATCGCAAGACGTCCAGCGTTGACTCATGCTGACTCGCTCGAAGAACAGCATTTGGGACTGCTTGTTGCCGCCTCTGCAGCAATATCCTTTCTGACAGCGAAGCAACAAAGGAGCCATCTGCCGAAAGAAAGCTGGTACATGCCCCACGTGCATAGACACGTTCCACATCCCCCTCAGAATTGGGTTGTGCTGAGGTCAGGGCGTAGTGCTGAGCATAGACCTGGTCCCACCTAGGCCGGAGGAGCAGGCATGTAACCCCTCATGAGGCTGGGTAAGTCCGTTTTCATGACTGCCCTTCTTCAAGACCCTTGCTCTGCCCGAGGTGTGCAGACACTGTGCTTGGCAAGTTTCACGTGCAGGGTGCGGCTTTGCTTCTTTCCTAGTTTTCTCCACTACGCCTCACGGCCTGGCTAACAGTAGAAATAAGCTGGGCTGTTCAAAATGGAGGGTTGGCCAATCCCAATCCATAATAGGCAAGCCACTATAAAGGGGATCGGTTCCTTGCGTAACCCCAGGTAAGGATTATGGATTACCTTTGAACAGCCCAAATAAGGACACTTGGTTGACGTTGGAAGGGGAGCAAAAAAATAAAATTTAGCAGTTAAGTGGTTGGATTCCAACCACTTAATCACAATAAGCAAAAATGTAATAACATGTTTCCATACAACAACCATGGACAAAGGTTTAGGCTCTAGACAGTTGAGATGGTTGGGCTTCCCGGCTGCTCCCGCTGTTGCTTCGCAGCTTCCTCGGCCGCCTGCATCTGCCGCAGCGCATCCTGGCAGATCCAAAACAAGGAAAAGATACATGCAAAACCACCTGCCTTACAAGAGGATGCTCTAAATCAGCTTGTACGAGTAGAGGCGGCATTTTTTGGATGAATGTTTTTTAAAGCTGGCCCAGAAAGGTATCCTTTCAGGGACCCGGCGCAGGTTGAGACATCCACTGCGGCTGTGCCACAGGCTCACCATGCTTCAAGGTCCGCTTGCCTCGTATTGTTGCCGCTGCGCCCGGGCAGCTTCCTGACGCGACTACAAGTCTTTACAAGTCTTGTCTGAGCAATTCCAAACTTGGCTGGAATTAGGACCCCAGCAAAACCATATATTTGTTTGCCTGGCTAGTGGAAAATAAAGGGGACCCCAAAAAAGAAAGAACAAAACACAAACAGGGGAACTAATTCTGGGGAAGCAAACTGGTCCTGGCAGCCAAGGCGAACCGTGCAAAGCAAGCTGGCAACCCCAAGCTGTACCCAGCGCCAGTTCGGGCTCCAGAAGCGCCATGCTTTACACCGACGCCTTGGTCTCCGGCGAAGAAGGTTGACAACAAAAATTCTCGAAGAAATTCCGTGTCCTCTGCCGCGTGCGCTGCGTAAAGTCCTGCCCAGGGTCCTTCTGGCTGGGCCTCGGCGGCGTGTCTGTGATAAATATTTGCTTCTGAGGGAACAGGCGGCGGAAAAACAAAACGCGCACACGCAAAACCAAATGCATGGAATGAGGCATGCCCAACATGGAAAGAACACGGGAAAACGCAGGTGGCCCTGAACTGACTTTGTGCAGCTGTTGGCTGCGGGCATCACACATCAATAAACACACAGACACTTAGCAACAGCACGCAGACACAGACACGGGCACGAACACAGGCACAAACAGAGAGACACACAAACGCAGACACACACACACACACAAAAAAAAACATAAACAAAAAACCCAGACCCACGCAGACCCACAGACACATACACAGACAAGCTGCAGGAAGGAAGCGCAGAGGAAGGCCTTGACACCAGCAAGAACTTGGGACAGGTCACAAATTTGCAGAGCAAACCGACATCATAACATCCGCCCGGGCGAATCGAAGAGTTGCCAGTGGGCTGAAAGACGCTGCTTTTGGCTCCGGGAACTAAATGGCACCCACCTTGGGTCCCGGCCGCAGCCTGCGCCTGCGGTGGGTCCCAAGAGGACTCGCCAGTGCTTTGGTTGTAGTAGTACACGTGGCCTGCGGGCCAAACAAAAGACAAGCCGCTGTCGCCATAGGTGGCCTTTAGGGCAAATAGATGGCCCTGGTAAATGGAATGAAACCACTAAAAACCAGTGCCACCCATGTTCAACCAAATTAACTTGAAAAGGACACCTACGATTGCCCCTGCACGAGCAACCCGCTGCTCCCCTCTGACCAAAACACCTGTGGCGGTTCTGTTGGTCTGCGTGGCTCAACGTTTTGCACCCTCAATTGTCGCATGTCTACAATCACGTGCAGCCCAAAGCAAGTGGCCTAGTTGGAGCTTGCCATGTAGCGTGCATTGCCAGCACAACACGGTACTTGAGCAAATTGTGGGTTGCCCAGTGGTCATGTGGGAAGTGGCAGTGGCAAGCTATTTTGCAAGGAAAGTGGGCAACCTTTCAGGCTCTGCTCTGAAACGGCTTGCGCATGAATGAACTGAAGGCTCGCCCAGGCCCCCTGCGAATGCTGCAGCAAATCCCTGCTGACCCAACGGAACGATGGCTCGCTCCCACCTGAAAAAATAAGCGAGTCCATCTGCCGCAGTTGCCAACGTTCCCCCTGAAACTTCTAGCAACACGGCTAGATATAAAATGCTAGTCGTGGCGCCTCGGCGCAAAACAAGCAACAACTCCAGAAGTCCCGTGCTTTGCTGAGGCATGTGAAGGGCATGTGCGACGTGAATGTCCAACAATATTTCAACGGCAACAAGCCTATGTTGATAATAAGTCCCGTCAGCTTGCGGCAAGCCACTCACATTGGCTCGCCTCCCAATGCATGTCTGCATCTTCCAAGCCCTTAACAAAAAGCCGACCTTTTCAGGAATGGGCCGATGGGGTGCAACAATGACTTGCATCCCTTGCTGGACATAGCCACGCAACGTCTCTTCTGAACACCAGGCGAGCTTTCCTGGACACCAGCCCCTAATAATCCTACCAGCCTTGGAGAAAGTGGCTCAGGGATAGGGAAACATGAGCCCCTTACCTTGTTAGTTTCGCAGGGTCCGGAAAAGCTGACTCTTTGCCCCAACCGACCGGCGGTCGGACCCAACTCCAAGCCTTCGGCCGTGTGGCACGTCATCCAGCCAGCCGCCTGATCCGGGCTGGCGCTGAGCTGGTTGTTGGGGTTGCCGCGTGTGGCTAGCCGGCTACTCAGCATTCAGGAGGGGTGCATCAAATCTCAAAATGACTCGCCAGAGTTCAATAGTCAATTGCCGCAAAACATCCCTGAGACGCCAAGCATCACCACAACGGGCAGGAAATGGGAGGAACTGACTAATACTACTTGCACCAAAAGACATGACACACACACAAACACATGAAACAAACACATGAACATGAGAAGGAAGAACATGGAAGAACCGTAAAAACAAAAATAATCACAACAAATACTTCGCTTCGAGCAATCCCCACCCTCCACACTCAGAACACAGTTGTGTGAATTCAAGCATGGTTTTCGAGAGGCTTGGGGCCTATGACTGCCCAACAAGCTTTGCATTGAGAGCCTTATCCACCTGTCTCTGTGTCAAACTCCACTTGTCTGCGAGCCGATCTCGAGAACACAAACATCGGTTCCGATAACAAAAGCCAAGCCCCTTCCAAAAAGAAACCCGACGGGGGATTAAACGAAGTTGCTTATTCACAGCCCAAAGCAACACGAAAGCATCACCCTTTCCAAGCCTCAGGGCACACTCAAAACACGAAGTCACCAACATGAAAGTAAACCCAACTGTGCGCCGGGCGGGACATTAGGCAAAACCAGACTGGCGAGCCGCTCCGGCTTTATACTGGCCGGATACTCGGCAAGATCCACCGGCAAGGGATACTCAGCGGGATGCTTGGCGCGATCCACTGGCGAGCTACTCTGGGATACTCAGCGGGATACTCAGCGGGATCCAGCTACTCTGGCAGGATACTCGGCGGGATTGACAGGCGAGCTACTCTGGGATACTCAGCAGGATACTCGGCGGGATCCACTGACAGGCTGCTCTGGTGGGATACTCGGCGGGATACTCGGCGGGATCCACGGGCGGGCTGCTCTGGTGGGATACTCGGCGGGATCCACTGGCGAGCCGCTCTGGCGGGATACTCGGCGGGATCCACTGGCGAGCCGCTCTGGCGGGACACTGGCCAGCTGCTCTGGTGGGATACTCGGCGGGAGCTGCTCTGGTGGGATATTCCGCGGGATCCACTGGGCGAGCCGCTCTGGCGGGCTACTGGGCGGGATCCACTGGCAAGCAGCTCTGGCGGGATACTCGGCGGGATCCACTGGCGGCGGGATCCACTGGCGAGCTGCTCTGGCGGGATAGTGGGTGGGGGCGTGGTGTAGAAGCATCGCAAACGCGGATTCCAACATAAAATCTAACAACCCCTTCCTGTCGGGTGGGGAAAAACAACAACAGAAAAATGGAACCCGTGCCGATCCGCAAAAGTAAAATTCAAAAGAGTCATCCGCGAGAAAGGGCCTCGGCCTGGCTTGGGTCCGGCCTCAGGAACGGGAGGGTGAAGCCAAATGTTGACTGGATTAATAAGCCCTGGTTTATTAATGTGGGTGTCCCCGGCCCCTGGTTTTAGTGAGGGGGTGGGTGGGACCCATAGTAACCAACAGGGGTTTATTAGCCGGGGTCTACATTACATGCCTACCCAGCTCCAAGCCCTCAGGAGTCTTCTAGCTCTTCCAGTCAGGCATTGGACCTCCCCGATTGGATGTTCCCTCATCTGCTAAGAGCCCCGCTGGCCTTCTGTGTGCACCTGCAACACTGCAGGGCAACAAGTACAACAGTGCCAACAGTTGTGTTTGTGCCTGCTTCGTTGCCTTTCCTATAGCCATAACTCTGCACATGTGGACTTAGTGTGAAAGAAAACGGCCTGCCAACCAAAACACCGCAAGGCATAGGCGTCCTTTTGGCCAAATACATGGCCCTGGTAAGACCAATACACACCAGTGCCACCTATGTGCCAAAGTAACCTAAAAAGGACACAGCACTGGCGGCACATGCCTCGAATGCCCCAACCCCCTCCCGGTACCAGAAACATGTTGGACAAAAGTGAAGGGACTGGGCTGCGCCAAAAGAGCAAACCAAAAGACAAGCAGGGTCAGCCAAAGAAGCAAGCAAAGCAGAAGAGCATGGGAAAAAACAAAACGCGAAATGGCATTGATGGAGACCAATGGGATGGATACTCTGAAGTGGGCGGCTTTGTAATTGCTTGAGTGGGTCGAAGGAACTGCAAACCAGAACTTGCCATCGCACCTGAATCAAAACTAGAAGCAGACAAAAGTGAACACAAGCCCGCTTTTCCTCTAAGACTCTATGAGCATTGCCACGGAACCGTCTTTTTGAACTCCAATGCATCCCAGGAGGGGCTGCCCTCTGCCCTGCGTCACGCTGGCGACGTCGCTCGCATATCATTTTTCCTCACCGGCCCTTGGGCTTTGCAAGGTGCCGAGTCAAGCTTCATCGGATGACCATTCCTCAAGAAGATAGCGAAGGCGCTTCAGGCATTTGTTCACCGTTGCCTCGTCGTAGCCCTCCCTCTCCCACTCCTTCAGGGATTGTGCGCCAATTTGAGCAACCCAAACCAGCCGGATGAAAACACTGCAGACATCAAGCATAAAACTCGAAGCGTCAAGGTTATGACTTCGAACCTTAAGCACTTTCCATTGAGGAGTCCAGCTTCCAGCGATGCACGAAAGCTCAGCGGTGGCAAGCCACGGGTATCGGCTCATGTTTTGTTTGGCAGATCATTGTAAACAAGGTGAAGCAAATTGTCCGAATGCACGACCGGTTCTTCAGACGCGCTATTTGCAGCTGAATAGGTGTGATGCGCTGTTTGCAGCTGAGTAGGTGTGCGACTATGGGGCACCAGCAGCTTTCTGTACTGGATCTGCTGTACTTCGACTGCCTTGCGCATGAGAAGATAGATGTCATGCACCCTAATCGCTCTATAGCCATGCATCAACTCACTTCCTGAGTGGATGGTCCAAACAAGTATGAACTGTCTTTGTTTTTCCCCAAAAAGTATAAAGTCCATGAACTCAGGAAGTGGTTTACTTTATCCTGCACCCTCATCCCCCAAAATCTCACCCACTTCAACGGGTGCAAAGCTCACGCGCAACGACACTTGATAGCCCCTGGTTTTGCATGGTAAATACCTTTTTAGCCGAGGGTTGAGATACCCTCGGCTAAAAACAAAAGATTGGAGGGGAACAGTCACTGTCGCTTCAGCTCAGAAAAGCCTCAAGCAAATAGAAGCTGGCAACTAGTTGGCAACAGCGCTGCCAGGCGCCTGGTGGTTTCGCACCTTTCCATGATTTCGTCCATTTTCATGACAACATGGGGCGGGAGGGGGGGGGGGTGATACCAAACTGGTAGACCGCGTTCTTAGGACACTTGAGCGCATGGGCAGTTTCTGAAGTCGCTTGCTTCCTTGTTGGCCCAGAGGGAGGGGCAGTTTTGCTCTTTGTTGGCTGCCATGGATGCGGAAGTGCTACTCGACTCGCTCTGACATGTGTTCTGCTGTTGAAGATTGCCAGGTGCCCGCCCCATGCGTTGCCTATAGAGCTACGTATGTTCATGGACGAAGATATTTTGCATTTAGACAGCATGCACTCACTTCTAGCTGCTGCCCACGGGGCAAACGACATGGCCGAAGCATCAGAACAGGGAGTACGCGAAAGAAAGGCACTGCAAGGTAAAGAAATCCTTGCCGCGCAAAGGATTTACTCGGTGTCTTGATGCTAAATGGAAAAACTTGAAAGGCTTTGTTCCAAAGCAGATTCGCAAGAAAGTCTATGTGAATGGCGCAGGTGTTGTGAATGACAGGCTACAATCTCCAAATTATGCAATGGGCGTGGCGCCAGAACTTGTGTAACCCAAGCCCGGGAAGTTTCTGGAAGCATTGCAACGCCTCTTTGCGTCATGATGCTCTCTTTTACTTCTCCCGGAGTAGTTTTGGAAACTAATGAAAAAGCCCCTGTGCATTGCGCGTGGCCGTGCGTGCAGTTGGATTTGCAGCCGCGTGGTCATTTCGTTCAAGTCAGCATGGCCGTTCTCACGCCCCGAGGAGCCAGAGAGCCTCCCCTGCGAGGAATTAAGGACCCAGAGGGAGTCTACAAACTGGGGGGGGGTACCCAATTTTTCCGCCACCGCCAACAGGAGAGTTTAGGACCGAGTTGGCTCCAATGGGCCGTCCTCGCCACGGCCCATGTTGAAGCCAATGCCATCCTCAAAGGCGATGCGGCCAAGCTGAAACGCCTGGCAAAGCACCCGCCTTCATGAGGTACGCTCCTTGAGATCTTTGAGGCTCTTTCCTTCTTCATTTGGCCCTCTAAAGCACAACTGAGTACCCCCCCAGCAGTTCAACCAAACAACGAACAGTCAATGGGTGTAATCACTGTTTGGTATGTTTTTGTACATCATATTCTGGCCTCCTCCTTGTTGTCGAGGACGTGCCTCAGCTCTTGACCCTCCCAGTTGCACAGCGTGTGGGGATTGCCTTGTTTTGCACCCATGGGAAAAGCTACGTTTTCTGTACTACGGCTGTACTACAAAGTTGCGACTTTCGAGCTGGAGCTCCGGGGAGAACGTTTCCTTTCCTATAACTATACTACAAAGTTGCCGGAGCTCCGAGATTACGGTTCTCCGAAAACGATCAGGGGCCCCCTAATGCTAAATTGTTGGGGGACCCACTTGGTATCAGGGAGGGGGGGTGGTTTAGCGTTCCGGGGAAGGGCTCGCCATCTGATCGTGGCATTGCTAGCCCGTGGAGTGAAAGAATATATATGTGAGGCACGTGTCAACCAGCACCCCCCAACTAATGTTGGCACTTGATTAGTAAAGGGTACTGGAATAATAGAACGTGTTTTTTTCCTTATTCCGGTTCGCACCCATTGTTTAAGGGGACCAGAATAATAGATTTTTTGGCCGGGTGGAAAATTCAAAAAAAACACAAAGCAATTTTAATTTAAAAAACCATCCCCCCTCCCAGAAAATAAGCTATCAGTTGCCTTACTCAAAAGCATTGCCCTTTCAATTGGTGGCCCACTTGCTTAAAAGCATTCCCCTTTCAATTGGTTGCAATACTAAAGTAGTATTCCAAAAAGTATGCTCAGGAAGAAGTGGTTGCAATACTAAAGTAGAATTGCAAAAAGGAAGTGGCTGCAATACTAAAGCAGAATTGCAAAAAGGAAGTGGCTGCAATACTAAAGCAGAATTGCAAAAAGGAAGTGGCTGCAATACTAAAGTAGAATTGCAAAAAGGAAGTGGCTGCAATACTAAAGTAGAATTGCAAAAAGGAAGTGGTTGCAATACTAAAGTAGAATTGCAAAAAGGAAGTGGCTGCAATACTAAAGTAGAATTGCAAAAAGGAAGTGGCTGCAATACTAAAGTAGAATTGCAAAAAGGAAGTGGTTGCAATACTAAAGTAGAATTGCAAAAAGGAAGTGGCTGCAATACTAAAGTAGAATTGCAAAAAGGAAGTGGCTGCAATACTAAAGTAGGATTGCAAAAAGGAAGTGGCTGCAATACTAAAGTAGAATTGGGCCCCAAAATCCTCCATTGTTTGGACGTCCCAAAAGTGCGCCCCAGTTATTTTGGCGCCTCCATTGTTCAGGGGGGGGCCTTTATTAATCAAGTGCCAACATTACTGCCCAGGGGGCAGTAGATAGAATTTTCAAAAAAGAAGAGTATCACTTGCGCGTCATGCCGTGTCACCTGCGTGTCATCCTGTGTCACCCGCCTGCGTGTCACCCCGTGTCGCCCCGTCTCCCATGTCACCCCGTGCCGCCCCCGTGCCGCCCCCGTGTCAGTATGCAAGAACAACAGTAGATCGCCGCGAACAACAGTAGTTTAGCGTGTCATCCCGTGTCGCCCCGTGTCCGTGTCACCTGCGTGTCACGCTGAGTCACCTGCGTGTCACCCTGTGTCGCCTGCGTGTCACCCCGTGTCACCTGCGTGTCACTTCGCGTCACTCGCGTGTCACCCCGTGGGCCTGGGAAGTGGTGTGGATACAAGCTTGTTTTCCCCAACAGCCGAAAGCTTTGGGGTCTCAGCCCAGTAGGCTCCGAAATGGTCCGGGGCGGCCCTGAGGTAAGGTTCCACGAGAGTTCCACCAGGCGTTCCACCAGATTTGCTGTTTGGGAAAGAACGTGCAACAACGAAAGATCGGGGATCTACTGTCTGTTTATCTATTTTCGGAACTACTGCTAGATAGACGGTAGTAACGGAAAAAAAAACAAAAAAAGTAGTCAGAGGGCGCTGGAAGTCAGCTGCAGCTGAGTTTCATTGTGAAAAGGGCGAGGTCGGTCATGAGAGAAACACGTACAGGGTTTAGCGCAGACAGCTCCTCGCTATGAGCACGAGCTGTCTCAAATGCCTCTTTTGCGAGCTGGATTTGTTCGCGGCTTCCTGCAGCTAGGCATGCGTAAAGGACACCTTGCAGGTGGCAGTAGGCTGCCGCATCCTCTCTGAGCTGCGTCTGTGCCAACAAACCCACGAGAAGTTTCAGCACATTGCGGCAGAACGCCTGAAGCTCTTCTGACAACTCTGCGCCGGGCGTATGCCACACCTGGATGGTCGAACATGGGGGATGGGAGAAGCCCTGCCTCTTTGTGCCTGTTTGAAAGCAAGCCCCGAAAAGACAAGAGCAGTTCGGCAACCCGCACCTCGCACAGGGCCAAAATGCTGGCAGTGAAGCAGTCTCGCTCCTGCCGGCTCAAAGAGAAACCCCAATGCTCAGCGACCTGCTGGATG